TCTGTTAAACGCTACACAATGTGTTTTCACTAACAAACTGAAATTCTGGCTTGCTAATGAATATTCAGTTCAGTTTATAAATAACATTAATTAGGGTTACTTAAAGATAATATTTAGTATACTGTTTGGATATGTCTACAAGTATCTTTTTATACGACTTCGATAGCTGGAATTGTTACAAATGTTTACAAAAGTTTAAGGATGTGTTGAGCTGCTAAACACTTGGACAGCTAGCTAAATGAATATATCAAAGGTAATGTGCTATTTTTACACTATTTGATGGAAAACAACAATTACAATTTTGCCAATTTGGACTTTGCTCTAAATTTGGAAGAAAATATGTTTCCGCTTTGTAGACTTTAGAAAAATTACCCATGTTTCCTGCTGTTGTTCTCAGCATGCTGAGTCCAGGATCACTGAAACGCAGGCCTCCTTCCATACGTTGAACAAAGTCACTGAATCTGTGGCTGAGTATTTTTGTGAGGAACCAAGTGAGTTTAAACTGGATGAGTGCTGCTCCATCTTCAGTTCCTTCTGTGAACGATTCACCCGAGCCCTTCAGGTAAAGCCATACTCATCCTCTGAGTACAAATCCATATGGTTGTCTAGAGTCACTTTGAATTGGGCTAACAATTGGAAATGCAGCTTCTTTCTTCTCTTCACCTATTTTAAAATTGCATCCAAATTTTCTTCCTCAGGAGAACATGGAGCGTGAGATGGCCGAGGTTAAACGGAAACAGAAAGAGCGACTGCAGTCTGCTGCCAAGCGGCGCTCCACAGCCACCTGCTCATCACGGGACAGAGACATGGAGGGTATAGCGCTGGAGTCGGTTCTCCAACGCTTCCTGAATGCACCCGGGTCTCGCAGGAGAGCACGAACCCCCTCGCCAACCAGTGCCAACCTTGCTGAGATCTCATTACAAAAGAACCAGTCCAACAAAGACTCCAAAAAGCAGAGCTGGTCTTTGAACATGTCCCAGTCCTCCCTTGGTAAGGAGAACTCAGTGGAGGAAAGGCCAGAGAAGAAAAGTCTGCTGTGGAGAAAATCTACTGAGCGTGCATCGGTGGTAAATGAGGATGAGGAAGTTCCATCTGAGAAAGAGGTGCAGAAATTGAGAGAAGTGTCCCAAAGAGTGCTGCGCTACCAGTCTAGCCGTGGGAGTGCGTCTTCTGGGGAATATATTTCCCCAGTCACTTCTCCACAACGACGCGCTTTTCAAGAGGATCGAGAAAAACTGATGTCTGTTACAAATGGCGAGGATGCGACCAAACCCCTAAAAAGCCCACTGCTTTTGATTCCAAAAAGCCCTGGTGGTATCGGTCGTCGGCACACAATCACACTTCCTACGGCAGATTTGAGCAGAACTGACACTGACGAGGATCAGTTTGTTCCCGGTGAGCCAGAAAATGATAGCCCTGGAAATCAGATTCTGTCTCTTGGGAATATTGGTAGGATCAAATCAGTGGACAGCTATCTGCCACCTACAAATGATGGCGTAGGCAACAAAGTGCCATCCCGCACTCCAATGGGCAAATCGGAGAAAGTGGACATAGCAGAAGTACGGCAAGAGACTGACGAGAGCTTATCCAGTTCTCAGCAAAATACTTCAGTCAATGGACAGAACAACCACACCAAGAGGAGCTCTCGATTAATATCCTTTTTCAAACGTTTGGGTGAAAAGAGCAAAATGAGCAATAGAGAACCCGAGTCCAGTAGTGTGGACCCCTAACAAACATCTTACAGTCATTGGGTCAGATGGATGATAGAGTTGGCTTTTTTAATCTGGATGTGGTCCAGAAACAATCTCTGGTATGCATTAAAATTGCTCAGGGCTTTGCTTTAAGTTTGCAGTATGTGTGAAAGCTTCAGTTCTCAGTTCAAGGTGTCAGGTAACATGGTAGAACTGTACACGGTTACTGGAATGACCTTTATGTTGCGAGGTTTTTGCTTAGCTAAACATCATCTTAGCAAGAAAGGCGCATCACTTGCAGGTGCTCCTGAGTGATGGCATGCCACCTGGAGATAACAGCTGTTTAAATGTTTGCATGCTTTGAATGTTGGTAATGGGACCAGAGTACAATTGTTGAGATCAATCAATCGATGTACATAATGTCTCCCTTTTTGCAACAAAAGTGTGTACACAGTAGAAATTCTTTTCTCAACCATTTGCTCAACCAATCAATCCAAACCCCAACCCGTAAACTCTTAAGCCACAAACAAGCCCAGAATGGTCACTAGCATGAATGAATGAATGAATGAATGAATGAATGAATGAACAGTATCAATGTTAAAACACATGCAAACTAATGCAACAACAGCAAAGAATCTAGAGCCCTAAAGGGTTTTTCAGTTGTAACCTTTAAGGCTTCTGTGTAGAACCCCTTCCACAGGAAAAGGTTCCAGATAGAACCCTTTAAAGGGTTCTTTTTCTGAGAATATACTGGCAACATCACAACGAAATAATAAATAAGAGGGGTTGCATGACTATGCATTTTACTAGTTGGTCAGTAATTCAAAAAATAATTCATAGTTAAATCAAAATCTGATTTAGGATATCGCTATTTTTAGGATATTTCATTAAATGCTGATTAAACAATGCATCAGTCCGCACTAACAGCCACATACAGGCTGTAAATTACATTATGGTACACTATTAATGACGAAAATAAATAACTCAGTACAATACATATGTAAAATAATAAATCTATGTATTTATTATTGTACATATTACACTGTTTAAGGACATACCAATTCTTAAAATACACTTGTACGGATGGCCTGTGCCTCAGCAGTAATTGTTGATTCTGAAACTGACAGCGCACAGCACAGAAGCTCATGTCCATCAACAAAGCTCTCGTTAGAGTTCAATGCACTGCATTCCTTGAATGGAGAAGGCTATGTCTACAGCATCGATATCTGGTGGTATCTGGAGGTTTTTCTGCCATGTTCAACTCGTGGTGGGATTAATAAAACAGCCACGCTTCGTACAAAGTGATATGAAAGTGATAATGTTCCACTGATGCAAAAGAAAATAAAAATGTACTGTCAGCTGTAGAATTGGAAATACTTTCAGACGAAGAAAGTACATTTAGCCTGAATTTCCTTCCCATCGCCCTCGCTCAGCATTCCTAAAGCAGCAACTAGTGAATGTAAAAATAAAGTCTAGGAAATACAGAGATATTTCTCTAAGCTGCGATATAACAGATGTTCCTTTAGGGTGCACTGTTTGGCATCATGTTTTTAGAAGCACTGCAGTCCAGGTCTAATTTAACGTGTTCTGTCTGAATAAAAATGTTCCACATGGACTTTTACTACAAGTGGGGCAATGCAAAAAGTTTTTTGTTTTTTTTCAAAAAGTGATAGATGTTCATGTGCTTGGCGTCAGTGATTTTTTGTAATGAACTTCAGTCGTTTTTAAAACACTTACTTTTCCTTATTACATGATACCCTGGGTCATGTTAAGGTGAAACGTGAATAGTCTGTCTGTAAATCTGAACCAAAACATGATAATCATAGCTGTTCACTGTGGATACACACATTTTGGATTCCTAACCATGGGAAAGACTCCGTTTCCATTTTGGGACTCCATTTCCATCAGTATTGTTTATACTGATCAGCACCAAGATAAATAAAAGACAGACTGTAGATCTGAAAATAAATTCTACAGTGGTATCTGTGTAAAATCTGAAGAGGTGGACAAACAGTTGTGAACAAGGGTTACATGTTTAAAATAAATTTTATAATATATTCATAGGATGTTGCGGATTACATTGCGTATGTAATACTGAAGGCAGAAAGCAAGGGTGTTTTTTTTTTTTTTTATTGTGTGGTATTGATGTGTTTCCCCCAGTTGTTTCAATACCCTAGTTTTATACAAGGATTCTGGACTAATGCCAATATCCGATATTTGTCATGTGCATGTCTTTCTATGCATACAGATGTATCTAAAGTAGAAATCTGGACTACATCCAACTGGATAAGCACTGTGGGTATTTATTTGTAAAAGATTAAAATTTTCTAGACCAAGCATTAAAACAGCAAACTTAAAGATGTATTCTGTTTCTATTATGCTCAAACAGGAATTATGAAATGTCTTTTAGTACTGAGATCTGTTTCCAGTGAGTCCAGATCTGAATATATATATACATACAGGACTGTGCAAAAGTCTTAGGCACATGCAAAGAAATGCTGTTAGAAATGCTGTTACATGCAAAAGATGTCTTTGTTATGAAAGTAAATGTTTCTACATAAAAAATACTCTAAAGAGCAATAAACAGTAATAAATGAAACAAAATCAATATTTGGTGTGACGATCCTTCACTTTAAAAAAAATAGTAGTCTCAGGTACAATTTGTGCAGTTTTGTATATATATATATATATATATATATATATATATATATATATATATATATGTGTGTGTGTGTGTGTGTGTGCGTGTGTGTGTGTGTGTGTGTGTATTTTTATACATTATTTTCATTATTTTTTATGTTTCCTTTACAGTAACAATTATTTTGGACCACGTACATAATAAGTGCATTTGTCTTACATCTCACATGAGTTGAAAGAGAAACCTGGCCCCGGACTGCTGTAACATATGCTAAAATTATGGATATATATGAGATTTGAGGTGACATTCAAAATTTTCTTGCATTTGTTGTTTAAATTTGTCCAGTTGGCATGCCATTGTGAATTGGCACACACTGATAGTACATTCATGTTATCCCATAAGTCAACTGGATTTTATGGGTCAGTCATTAATTTATTCATCTCCTTTATCTGCTGTATCCTGGTTAAAACTGCAGGAGATTACACCTGGAACACTGGGCATGAGGGAAGGATAGAGGGCATCACGAACACCCACACTTTTTCACACACTCATTCACACCAGAATTTTTTACATTCTGGGCTTTAAGCTTTAAGGGTCTTACGTGGCAGGCTAAGTGAAAGTACGATGAATTTTCACTGGGTTTCTTATATACACCATGATTTCCTATGAGGGGCATGGTGGCTTAGTGGTTAGCACGTTTGCCTCGCACCTTCGAGGTTGGGGATTCAAATCCCACCTCTGCCCTGTGTGCGTGGAGTTTGCATGTTCTCCACGTGTTTCGGGGGTTTCCTCCAGGTACTCTGGTTTCCTCCCGCAGTCCAAAGACATGCGTTGTAGGCTGATTGGCATTTCCACATTGTCCGTAGTGTGCTATTGCACCCTGCGATGGGATGGCACCCCGTCTAGGGTGTCCCCTGGCTTTTCCCCAAGTCCCCTGGGATAGGCCCCAGGCTCCCCCGTGACCTGTGTAGGATAAGCACTACTGAAAATGGATGGATTTCCCATGAATGCAACATAGCATGACCTATAAGGTTTGTGATGCTTTCATGGTGAACCATAAACATGGATTTTAATGGGAATCCCATGGAAATCCAAAAATTTCCTTGTCTTACTCTTTTAAGTCTTTGATAAAAAATGAGTTAATAAGACTTGTTCCTGGAAAGAACAACTATGTCTTAAGACGTTGTTAATAATAAATATTTTAATTTAGATTGTTTTTTTTTAAATATAACAATGCATTTTGTTTAACGATATTCACAAATGTACTGAAGTAGCCTATACAGCCCTAGATTTAATCCTCTTTGTGCATTTTAGATACAGTATGTCATCACCAGGGGGCACGGTGGCTCAGCGGTTAGCACTGTTGCCTTGCACCTCCGGGGTTGGGGATTCAAATCCCACCTCCACCCTGTGTGTGTGTGTGTGTGTGGAGTTTGCAGGTTTTCCCCCTGCTCTGGGGGTTCCCCCCAGGTACTCCAGTTTCCTCCCGCAGTCCAAAGACATGCAGTGCAGGCTGATTATCATTTCCAAATTGTCCGTATTGTGTGTGTGTGTGTGCGATTATGCCCTGCGATGGATTGGCACCCCATCCAGGGTGTCCCCCTGCCTTGTGGAGATTGTGCCCTGAGTCCCCTGGGATAGGCTCCAGGCTACCCTGCGACCCTGTATAGGGTAATCACTATGGAAAATGGATGGATGGATGTCATCACCATCCAATGATCATTTACAATTTTTTTAAATCCAGTTATACAGTGCAGAAATATCCTTTATTATATAAATTTTAAGTAAATCTCTTACATGCAGGAATGATCAGTCTGTGTCACAGTGTAATCTGCTGACGTGGTGAAGTAAGACGGCTGGCTCTTACCATCTGTCTGGATGCGGTCTCCATAGCAACCACCACCTCCTCCTCAAAAGCCTGAGATGACTGTCTTCACCTCCCCCAACCCGTCACTATAGACTATAGACATCCCAGACTCCACTGGCTCATTATATCTCACCATGCTCCTGTTACTTTCCCTCTTCTCGTTTATCTCTTCAGTCTCAGCTCAGTGCAGTGACTCCCACCTTCCTGACCTCAGTGGGTGTGTGTCAGATGATGAGTGTTACAGACATTGGTTTTAAATGGATTTTTTTCTATTCAAGAGAGGACACAGAGATGTGTCGAGTCTACATTTGCATTTATAGCGTTTGGCAGACACCCTTATCCAGAGTGACTTACAGAAGTGCCCTGAAGTCTCTGTCAGACTGTGAAGTCTCTAACATCCTGATACTGGTTCACTAGGTCACGGACTAAGAATACTATCAGTCTAAAAAAAACTCTGTTGGAGAGGTACTGTAATATAGTAATAATAGCACACAGACAACACATTTCTTTACTAAAGTGGTTAGAATCCCAGGAACACTGGATGCAAGGTGGAAATACACAGTGGATGGGATGCACATGCACATTCACACCTAGGGGCAATTTAGCTTAGCCAATCCACCTACCTGCATGTGTTTAGGAGGTGGGGAAAAAAACAGAGTACCTGGAGGAAACCAACATGGGTATGGGCAGAACATGCAAAACTCCACACAGACAATAACCCAAGCTCCCCAACAGTTAGGTGGGTTTTATATTTGAAGTATTCCTGCCCATTTTCACAATGCTCTTCCCTCAGAGTGTACGGTGGCTCGTAGACTAGTGTGTCTATAAAACGACTGACAGTAGGCGCATCCAAACACACAAGCATTCCGGACCGGAGGTCTTTTTTATTCAGTTTTGCTAAGACTATGGCTTAATCTATCGTTTTGATTTTTTTAAATTATGTTCTACATAGTGTACGTTCCATTTGTTTTAATACAGATAAAGAATAAAAACGACTAGTGCACCTTTAACACTTGATGGAAATTCCCCACACCCCAAAGCTACCCCTGTGGATGTGGGACAGAAGAGAATGCAGTAGAAGTGATTGGGATTGAGGATGACTGCTTTGAGCCAGGCCTGGGCGTTGGACTCAGGCCATACGCCTCTGCAGTATAGATGACACCAAATGCACTGAGCATATTCCAAACGACGCCGTTTTATTGGTTGTTCCAACTTCTCCTAGTGCCGCGTTAGCCAATTATATTACAACATCCCTTTAGCCACGCCCACCTCTCCCCTCCTTCCCTGCTTCAATCTCGGGCTGCTTTGCTCGCGGTGTTGGAGAGAAAGGCTTGGCGTTTGAAAGGCGGTATTGTTTATTGTTTACTTTTATGCGGATTTGTAGCTAAACAGATAAACATTTCCATGCTGTGTTGAGGGGATGGTGACGCTCTTTTAACTCCGGATACAATTCCACGTAAGTTCAGCTTTGTTTGCGGTTTCCTTGGGTATTTTTTCCCCCTGCTGTTTCTTGTCAGAAATAGATTGAGCTCTCTCTTTCTCTCTCTCTCTCTCTCTCTCTGTCTCTCAGCTGAACGCTTATCCTGATAGGATGAATAATTCATTAAATGTCGGCGGACATTAAAGGAGCGGCGTCGCTAAATGCTTTGCATTGTTTTCTAAAACACAGCGCTATCAGATCCAGTGTTTCACCTGCGAGCAGAAAATGGATGCATATGCATCATTCAGCTCTGTAGTCTCAGCCAGGGTCGAGAAATGTCTCAACAACAAGCTATTACAGCTGTTTATTACACTCATTCATTTCATAGGGTATTAATCATTAAGAAATATGCACAGGTCGCTTCCTGTGGACAGGGTTGCCAGGTGTTCATTACAAACTCAGCCTGGATAATGGTTAAAGACCGGCTCGTATCAGAATCCTATTACCAAGACATATAAAAAAAAGAATGAAGTAATATTTAAATCAGCTGTTTCTCTAAATAGCTCAATTCTAAAATGATCCTGATATGGTCAAAATTTGTGTTATTGCATAGTAGAGCAATTCACCTATGCATCGGATGGGTGTAGCCCATTTCTTTATATTGTATATGTTGTGAATAGGAATAAGAGGCACGTGCATGAAAGGCTGCTTCATGTGGCTGCTAGTGCATGCTGGGAAATTATCGGTTTTGATAGTGATGAGTATTTGTTTCGCGTGTTCTCCTGGTGTTCACCGGTTTCCTCCCGCTGTCCAAAAACATGCCGGTATGTAGATGGGCGACTCTAAATTCCCCCTGCTTGTGATCGTGTGTGTGTGTGTACTTGCATGGTGCTCTGTGATGGACTGGTATCCCATCTAGAGTGTATTCCCACCCCACCCCCAGTGTTCCCAGGAATATTATCTATTTGTTTCACCGCCTAGAGCCTCAAAAGCTGCATGGAGAAGCCAAAGCCTTTATTTGTCACATATACTTTAAAACAGTGAAATTTTTATATCCCATATCGTTAGGCAACTGGGGTCAGAGCACAGGGTCAGCCCTGATACGTGTGTGTGTGTGTGTATGTATGATACAGCACCCCTGAAGCAGAGAGGGTTAAGGGCCTTGCTCAAGGGCCTAACAGCGGTAGCTTGGTGGTACCAGGGCTTGAACCCCTGACCTTCTGATCAGTAACCCAGAGCCTTAAACTGGTATCCCATCTAGAGTGTATTCCCACCTCAAACTCATCGTTCCCAGGAATATTATCTACTTGTTTCACCTCCCTGAGCTTCAGAAGCTGTGTTTGTTTGATAAATCACATTTGAAATACCGAATTAAACTGAATTAGAATTTTTAACAATAGGCATCAGCAGCTTTATAGAACCCCAGATGAAGATTTAGTATCTGGATGTAGATTTAGACCCCAGACAGAAAGAAATACTGCTGAAATCCCCCCTGGCTGAGACACCAGTCCATAGCAGGGAATCATACAAACACATATTCACACACCTCAGGGGAATTTAGTTAATCCACCTACTAGCATGTGTTTGTGAAATGGCCAGAAACCCGGCGCAAACTCATGTGATCGGGAGGAGAACATGCAAAGCACAGACAGTAACCTGAGCTCAGGATTGAACCCAGGGTCCTGGAGTTGTGAGGTGGCATCACTACGCGCTGTAGCGCTGTGCTACTCAGGATAATACGGTTTATATAGTGTACAATACAGAGCCACACTGAGAATAGGAACAAGAGGCACGTGCATGAGGCTGCTACTGCATGCTGGGATACTTAGGGCTTTCTATCGTAATGTGTATTTGTGGTGATTGTCGGGTTGCCGTGTGGAGGATGTGTGCATTTTTATTTTATTCAAATGAGAGTAGGTTTTACTATATAAAAGTAATAATCAAAATAGGCCTATGCAAAAATGCCCAACCCCAAACCTTTAGAGAAAAAAGGAAAATAAAATCAGCGGACAGGCAAATTTTGTGGGAAAGTCACAAACCTGGCAACACTGTTTGCTACATTGCGTTTAAATTCTTCTTAAATTCCTCTCTTCTGCATTTGAGTATAATCAGGACTCGTACAATTCTAATAATTCATGCTGATTTTTTTGCTGAAATCTTGATTTTTCAGTTTAATATTAGTATTATTTAAGAAAAATTAAGAGTCAGGCGTGTCCATAGTTTAGATTTTTCATTTTTCACAATAAGTGTGCACTGACAGCACAATGACAAGGGACATTAACATAAAAATGCACTATATAGACACACACACATATATGCACACGCACACTAATATACAAAGACCTGTAATAAAGTATAACTATTTTTGCGATTGTTTTAATCATTCAGTGGTCACAGCTTTCCTTTAAAATCCATCACTAGTAGAAAGAAAAAAATCATTTGACATACTACACAATG